GAATATTTCACTTCGTCATTCTCAAGTAAAAATATAATTATGTACTTCTTTTTAAGCTATTATGCCACTTGCTACAGTTTATTTACAAAATGTTTTTTTTTCAGACTTCATTATAAAAATTATTACTTTCATCTTTTTCTATGTGAAAAATCATTATTACTCACTATGCTACAGCGTACAGATTGAAGTTTTTTGATTGTTTTTTTTTTAAATTTTTCAGATTTTAACAACTTCGGATATTTCAGAAATTTTCTATAAGCGTTGTAAAAGGAAGTTGTTAATTTTATGTTTATTACATTCTATAGTTTTGTTTATATATTTTTTTTTTTGGCAGAGAAAGCAATATCTATAGTATAAACACTACCATCTACAATTTACTCTTTTTTAATCGTAAATGGACAATATTTTTTTATTATATTCATATTTATCGTTCAAAAATATTTTGAATATTGTTAATAGTAAGTTTTTACTTATCGCTTACGTATCCTCTACCTTTTCATTCTAAATATATATCATATCTAAATATAATAATCAAGACGTAGTAATTGTGTATTATTAATATTAATATTTAATAATAAAATGTGATTCTTATTTTTTTTTGAGTGCTTTACCTTTTGAATACACGGTATTTTTTACAGATTTCCTTTCGTATTTTTTCCTTTGCTTTTCTATTGCGCATTTACAATATTTTCACTTTATAAATGTTTTGTATCCCAACTATACTGGTACAGAATAAAATTTTCAAATCAATAACAGTTATTTACAAGGAGGGAATACAGTGATTAGTTTTCCTTTTAACAAGTCATAATATAATTATTTTTTTCCTGCCAGCAGGTACAAATTTTTGTTATTTCATTCTTTACTCCAAAACAAAAACGTTTTGCCGCCTATATACATGGTTTTTGTAATTGACAAGATTTTAATAATAAAAAAACGTTTAAATCAATTTTATAATGATTTTTAACTAAACTTTCATATCCACGCTAATTTATTAAATTTGTAATTTAATAAGAACAAAAAAATTGTGTTCGAGTCAGAGATCATCAATTACAACATCACATTCAAGATTTTATTTATATCTGCCACATGCAGACCTTTTAACCCTGTTTTATACAAAAAACATTAATCTAAGTTTAGTTAAAAACCATAAATGTTGATAAGTACAATTTTAATAAATAAGAAAATGACGCTAATTTCAAAATTAAAATAAATTAATCAAACAAATGATAATGAAAATGTTACAAATAAATGTTAATTAAGCTCATTATTCGAAAAATTCGTGATAAAACTGTGTTCTTTTTTGTTAAATTAAAAATAAATGCATTCAAGACATGTTATTATTTAATCATTAACACAGGATGTCCTAGATACTTAGATAATCAATCCATTCGAAGAAACTTGGGAATGGTAAGAGATACAAGGTTGGATAAAAACAATTTTTTGTTAAAGTATAGATTGCTAAATCATTTTCCAAATTAAGTGTGCATCTTGGTATTTGCCGACATTAATGTCTTGCGATGGCTGTTAAATTGAATCTCATAGACACGTAATAAATTGCTATTCTGATTGGTATAGAATTAAATAAACACAGAAGACTGTAATTGATTAGCGTAGACAATGAAATATGCACAAGGAAAAGTACTAACTTTTTCAAGCAATTTTATGAATTTGGTTGCAATCTTTTTTGACTATGAAAAATTTGGTGAACGTTTTTAAGATTATTGGTTTGAAAAATTCGCCAATATCATGCTTTAATTATTTTATTTACCTGTAGCATGTGTTCAATTTAGGATAATATGAGACAGAAAGCATTTATTAGATCATGGAGGAGTAGTTCATCACATTTGCAGCATTCCTAAGACTCCAGGCTTGTTATTACATATGTAATCTTTCCAGTGTTGAAGACCTAATGTGTCGTATATACAAATTTTTCACGGTTTCTTTTATATACGCAGAACTGTCCATCACTTTTCCAAACTTTTCCAAATTTGCAAATGTATTTGTTGTTCAATTTTGATATTAAACTTCCTTGATATATAATGTTTATGTTTGTTCAGTTGATTTTCCAAGTTTCTTGTTACATTTCAAGTCACGTTGTATATAGACATATGATAGGTATGGATGAGGAGAAGGTATCAGCTCATCTCATATGTAGTCTAGACAGAAGGTAGCAGTCTATTTGATACGCAATCTTCCCAAGTCATCAAACTTAATCAGACAGCCTTTCCATATTTTCAGATGTATTTAGCAGGATAACGATAAAGTAGGGTGTGCAGTATCGTATTTGAAGATCTTTTAAGTCGCCTGTTACGTTTGTAGTTTCCTATTGGTTATAAAAAGCCTTAGGATTGGGTTAGATGACGCAGAAAGCATCACTTTGTCGCACATATGACCTTCTCAAGTCTGTAAACTTACTTATCTCATATACAACCTTTCCAAATTTGATCTTGTACATAAATAGTTTCCAAGTCTAACACTTTCCTGGTGTATATGCAGAATTCCAGAATCATAGGATATGATGAGCAGATTTCCCAAGTCATCAGACTTGCTTGGCATTTATGCAATTTTTCTGAATGTATATACTGATTTAGCGGACGTATAGATTTTCCAAGTTTGTTTTATATAGAATTTCTTGTACATGCGAATTTTTCATGTCTGTAATATTTCGGCCAACATATTGAAGATCAGATAGTTGAAATAGGAAGCAACGGTTTGTAAAGGTAAATCGCATATTAAGATTATGGAAGCTTTCATGTCTTAATAAGTATATGAAGAAAAAACGGAAGACATAAGTGTGTTCAATAAATTTGAATTTTTTTGCTTGAAAGATGCTAAAAATGTTGCCATTTTTTTAAGCAGTGAGTGCGGTTAAGTAGGCACTGATTGCATGCTTTCATTGATAAGTACTTAATTAAAATCTATTGCTTTTGACAATAAATGATCAAGTATAACAGAGTTTGTTTCTTAAATATTATGCTAATTAGAATTTTAAAAATCTTGAAAATCTTATATTTTATTACAAAATCTTCTAGACAAACTAGCAAAAATACGAAATCAATGTTAATTCAACGGTTTGGTAAATTATTGTAAAGATCTAGTAATTTTTCTTTCAAAAAATATATAATTATAATTTAGAATATAACTGGTAATTGATAATATGAAAATAAAATCAATATTGAAAACTGTGTACTTGCTTATTTATTAATATATGTCTATAACTGATTTCGACAACTCAAGTATCATCAACTAAATCTATATAACTTTGACTTTTAAAAATTATTTTCTTGATATGGATCTTTCAATCCTAGAATTGAATGTTTTCCAAATTTCCATAAACCAGACATATCTACATACATCTTGTTACCAGTTCTCAACAACAATATATGAACATTGATGTTAAGTTCTTGTAACCATGCTCTTGCAGGAGTACATCCTTCAAAGGTCAAACTTTGTCAATAACTGTTGAATTAAAAAATATTAACGTTTAGACAAGCTTGTTATGTTCAAAATATCTGGTATATTGTCATGTTTCATAATATAAAATATTAGTAGTATTATGTTAGTAATAAGCTCAAATAATAATTTATTCAACCTAATTACCAATTGCTAAGTCATCAAATATTAAATTATTGCAATCCCTATATAATTAATGTCAGTCAATTACAAATGTTTATTAACTGATTGCAAGAAAGCACGCTGTTGAAAAAGTCAAAAAGGATTTAAATATTTCTAAGATTTAGTAAGATTTAGTTTAAAATTGTAAATATAAGAACGCAATACCAGTAATCCCATGGTAATTTTACATTTCAAGATTTGCGATAAAGTGTTATCTTTATTACTTATTATTATTACTTTTATTCACTGTGAAGTACCAAAAGTCACCAAAATATAAAGTAAAAACGCATTTTTTTCATTTAATTTAACCACTTGTATCTCCTACCGTTTTTAAGTCCTCATAGTAAAGAGATTATCTAAGACAGTTACAATAATATAATTTTTACAACAAATAATTTTTTTTTGTCAAACAACAAAATAAAATAATTTTTGAGCACCAATTTGTTTTGTCATCATTTACCATTTCTTCTATATGTTTATTTACAACCCTCAGTCAATTGTACAATAAGGTTTTTTATGTTGCCTATTTTTATTTCTGTTCTTTAATTTTTATTTATGTACAGTAACTAACGATAATATGATATGTATGAGCAGAACTATTCGAGTCACTATTTTTTTTTTTTTTTATTCATTAAATAAGTACGTAATATTATTTTGAAAATTAATTTTCGTTTCGTTACATTTTTATATTTTCATCCTGTTAAACTCAAGTAAGTACTCTATTTTTTTTTGTTAGTACTGAAAAAAATTTAAAATGGAATTATCCAGTATAGTAGCTTGGTTAAGTAATGTTAATTAATTAATACTTTATATGTATATATTGCTAAATTCTCTAATTGTAAGAGCGAGACTGCACTTTGTTTATTTTTTTTTATTAATGATTTAGAATTTAAGGTCTACTCTAAAAGTGGCAGTGGAAAATATTTTAGAAACTCATATTTTGCTATGTATTAAGGTCATTTATATTGTAATATTTTTTTGGATTGGGTTTATTAGTTGATTTTGAAATATATTTTTTTCGAAAAGTGTTTTATAAATATCTAAACACCGAAATTGAAAACGGAAAAGTGTAGATTGACTAGTAATCCATTAGGTTTAATCGTTTAATAAGTTAATTAATTAAGCTAAGTATCGTTATGACTATCATAGTAAAGACTAGTTCGGCTACATAGATTTTCAAATATTCGCCAAGATCATTAAAAGTTTTAAATGCGTTTCTTCCAATTCAGTCTTTTATTTTTAAATTAAACTAAAATTTGTTTTTGTCTCAATAATTTCATATTTATTTCGTAGGATATGTACTAAATAATCTACATTATTAAGCATTTCAAATATAAAATTTAAGCTACTGAAATTTAATTTTTAATTCTTTTTTTCTTTAAATGAATGATCTTAGCGAATCGTCAAACTACAATCACAGTTTTTTCTTTTTTTAAATCCATTGTAATCAGAAATAGTTAGGTCATACAACGTCTAAACATCTCACTTTTGTTGTCGATCCGTGCATTCGTGAAAAATGCATAAAAATTACCAATTAACAGCCAAAGTAGACACCGTTTAAAAACACGTTTACGTTTATATAATTAATTAATAATCAAGAGAGTGACGGAACTAACGTTTATAGCGCTTTTTTTAATTATGCTATCATGTGTTGATTTCTTTTTTTATTATGTATTAATATTCTTTTATTTCTCCTTACTTTTTTAAGTATTTAAAACTTGTAAATACATTTTTGTCTTGTAAGTATATAATTGTGGTTACTATTTTTTTTTATTCGGATAGGAGAGTAATTAATCTAAAAAGTGAAGAATAAACTGTTTCCTATTTCTTTTGCTAAGTACATTTAACGTAAAAATTAAGAAGTGTTTACGGATTATAAATGCAACGTTCTGTTTAAGTATTGAAAAAATCGTTATCATGATGTTGGTTCTTAATTATTCGGATACTTTGAAGAAATTATCTACAATTTTTTCCTAATTGTTTAGATCAGTGTCAAACCTAAAAAAAAATAAATAAATCAGGTTATGCAGGGATTGAGAAAAGATTGTGGCTTACGTAACATTATTTAGGCCTGAAGAGGTGGAATTGCCCCCTTGAGACACTGACTTTTGGTGGACATCCGCTGACTGGACCGCCTGCTTCTCTTTTTCTGCTCGTTCTCTCTGCAATCTATAATCAAAAAGAAACATAATAATTTAGAAAAAAATGTTAGCGCTTAAAGAAGATGTTTAAGGTGACGTATAAAGTTTGTTTTTTAAATTTGAGCTTACCACTGTTGTTCCTATACTTTCTTCCCATGTACTATGTAGTGAGTGCATGGTGAAATAATGTTTTATTAAAGTTTGTGGTATAATCATTACTTAAAAGAAAATAATAACAATAGAAAATCTGCTATTATTCACTCGTTTAAAATTTTATTATTCAATTCGTAATAATAGCAGTTTTAAGTTACTTCGTTATTTATATTTTCATCCACATATACATTTTTTACAACATTACATATTATTATTTCAGTTATTTTAGAAAAGGTTTATAGATTAAGTGGATATTAAAAAACTCAAAACCAGTATTGATTAAGTAAATATAGAAATTAGGACGATCTTAATATACTTAATAGAAGAGCAATGCATGTAATGGAGAACCACAATGTATATGGTGTTCATAAACTTCAAGCGAATATGAAATTCACTACACCACAGAGTGCTATGGGGCATCTTAGAGGTAGCTAGAATCCACCTACTAAACTAATAAAAGAATTATTCAAAGATACCAACTGCTGCGAACTACACACAGGAAAAACCACGGACGCATTTCTAGTCCTTAAATGCGTGAAACAACGATGTCCCTGTCCCTATTACTCTTTAACATAGCACTAGACTGCATCATGTATACCAACAACTAATTTAGACCTAGATTATGCAGATGACATATATATATATATCAAACGAGGAGATGTGGAAACTCTCAAAGCAAACCCAACTTAGTCAAGAAATCTGTCAGAGGAAATGAAACTTGATGGGGCATGTGTTGTGAAGAGAATCTGAAAATTGAACCGGAACTCATAAAGCACAAGAAGGAGAGGGAGGTCCAGGAAATCCTGGCGGAGATCCATTATGAAAGAGATAAAGACAACAGGAATATCGTGGATGGAAGTGAAATAAATACCTTAAAACTGAACACGATGGCGTGAATTTGTCGAGGCCCTATGCTCCAACACTGGAGTTTGAGGGATTTTTATACATATATTATATTGCTATTAGTTTGGTAGTAGGATGTAAACGGTTAACAGAACTTTTACAATAAATGGGAACAAGAGAAAATGTTGTTCTGTCAATATTCCAAATTATATGATACAACTCAAATAATACAACGCACACAAAGAGGAACTTACACAACGCAATTATTAGAAACAATAATACCAAACACCATAAACCATGAAACTACTTCTGCATGTGTTTTTACAGTGATTTAGAAATCTACAACAATCACATTTAGCCATAGAAGCGTCTAGCCACAAAAGAGAATCAAGGAATTCACTAATTCCAAGAAAAATTAATCAATAAATTTTATTAAAAAAAATAATGTAAGAAAATATGGTAAAACACTCAATCATTTTCTGGTCAAACCAAGCTTAACGAACTATTAGTGTGGCACTATTTAAAAAAATCTTACAAATACTTCCGATTTTATAACACTTTTTTTCACTTTCTTGGTGAACTTAGGTTGATATACATAAGCCTCCTCATATTTATTTTTTGGCATTATAACTTCTTAAGTTATAATTAAGAAGAATGAAATGTAGTTCTAAGATGTTTCATTTAATTCACTGTACGTTAAAATTGAAATGTTTCACAGATGTTTCTTGTTTACTGGGTTCCTTGGTGTGTGGCCAATCCAATGCTATTTCCTCTCCTTGATTTGGTCACTAATGGGTCGTTAGTTTGTTCTCTTCCGTAAGTCGTCATTGGATATCACTTTCAACTCGTTTCAACTTCCTTCCATTCGCTGTTAACATAGCTTCGAATACAGAATAGATTCTTATCTCCGTCGTTTTTTGAAGATTGATATTTATTTCTGCATTATTTTGCAGTTTTCTCAGCTTTACCTTCATGTCAGAAAATCTCTGTCAACATCGGCAACTGTCATTAGCAAATTCAAGCTTTGCATTCCCCATTTAATAGCATTTCTCCTTTCTTCTGTAACCTGTCTCATCACTCTATCCAATACCAGCAGGAACAGTTTTCCAGTATGCACCATTTGAGTGAGTCATTAAGGATATAAAATAGTGTAAACGAAAAGAGGAATAACTTAAGAAAGGAAGGTATTGCATTTCTTGCAATGATCAGAACAGGCATGATAACTCGCAACATTTCCAAGTGGCAATAAAAATTCATACTATTCTGTGATCCAACCTACATGAACGGCTTTTTGGCATATAATAAGACGGATCTTATCCAAGTTTCTAACGTATTAAAGCTCTTAGGTGTTAAGACTCACTTACATGAAGAACCCAACCTAACCCTAATCAAACCCCACTCATTCAATCCTAATTATAATCACATCTACACAACTTCAAAGATCTAAATATATTATCTATGTTAATTATAGTCACACCCAACTCATTCAATCCTAATTACAATCACAGCTTCACAAAAAACTTATTTCTTGAAATTTTTAATAACTAATGAAAAACTATTAATTGTAAGGTAAAACAATCAGCTGGAAACCTTTAGTATCAAATGAAATCGTATGATACAAACTTATAACATTCTGTATAATATGAAACAGATTTGGTAAATATTACTGATATGAGAAGGCAAAGATTTTAAATAATTTCGGCGAATTATCGAGAAAAATAAAATATTAAAAATATGCTACATTACATAAAACAATGAGTTAGACTTACTTATTTTTTGATTGCCTCATAAACTGTTGAATTTTTCTGGCAGCTTGATGTTGTCTTCGTTGGGAATAAGTTCTTCTATAAGAAGCCGATAAATAAGTTAAACAATTCCAATTAATAAAATAAAACAAAAAAAAACAAATTTTCACAATATAATTGATAACATTTAATGACTTCAGTACTACTTTTTAAATTAACTAAAAACAAATAACTAAAACGTTTTCACTAGAATCACTTTCAAAGAAGCTTGAAGAATTCCAACATAAAGTTTGAAAAATAAATTGAACATATTTATAAAAGGATTAAGGTCTTCTTATTGCAGAAAGTTGTTATTTTCTGTATCGTAGGATAACTGTAACACCGAAAGACAACATCGAGAACTACCACACAACACCACAAAATCGGGTTCTTTTAGCAGCTACACAGAAGCAGGCAGGGCTGATACGCAACACGGTTAATGTTGAGATAGGTTTGCTAATAATATTCGATGTAAAATACCCTCAAAATTCGATATTTCATATTACAACAAACATGCAAATTAAATTATATTCATCAAATAAATGATTATAAAAGTAATAAGGAAGCGAAATTACAAAAGAAATTATGACGACTTTAAATAATAACTTATAAAATGAAGTAAAAGTATTTTACATTTTCTTTTTAATTAGCAAACCAATCTCCCGTGTACTTACTTGAGCCCTCCAGCAGGAGTGCTTTCTCTACTTGTCCTCCCTCCCTGCTCTCTGTAGTTACGGTAATAGTTCTGGATGCAAACTGCCGCTTCTTGGCTCTTCTTGAATCTCTTATGTTCACAATATGACCTGTATCCGTTTTGAATAACCATTGCAGCGTGAGTTACTTGTTTAAAATAAGCGTATTGTTTGTATCTTCTATAATAATTTTGAATTATAACCGCTGCTGCTCTTTCTTTATCCTGTTCTTGCTGAAGACGCCCTTTATATGATCTATACGCTTTTTGGATTATTTTTGCTGCTTCATATAGTTCTCTTTGCTCACGATCTACAAAAAGAATCAAAATAAAGTTTTATTCTTTTTTTTAAGTAAATAAGATTACCTGATAATGTTAAATTAGAAAAGTCTTTTTCAAAAACTGTTCCAGATGCTTGGAAGAACTCGCAGAAATCTGCTGTTGTTGGTGGCGGAGATGGTGAATCTAAAGTAAAGGAGCAAGGTGATTGGAGACAGCTTGATGATGCAGGACTTAAACTGGAAGCTGGAGTAGCAACGTCGCAATGTCTAAAAATAAATTTATAAACATAAATTTGCTTTTCTTAATTATTCAATTACCTGTAATTATGATCCGAGAATTCAAAATTAAACTCTGTCGATTCAAAACTGGAAGAAGCAGATTGATCAAGTAATGGTTCCATAAAAACGTCTGATAAAGTATCACTTCCTTCAGGAGGTCCAGGACTATTATCCAGTAACATTTCTTCACTTTCATTCTAATTAAATTTAGAGGAAAATTAATTTTACTCTTTTATGTAGAGTTTGGAAAAAGAACATTCCTTTTACATTAAAGTTAGGGTGTGTTGAAACATTACGCCGTGATTGGATGTCGAGTTTCACAATGTGTCTCTTAAGACGACTAAACCCGAATGTTGCTAATTCTAGGTTTAGTGTAGTTCCACTTTTAGTTCAATAAAAATATACCATAATTTAACACTGAATAACAATTAAAATTACCAATTTTAAGACCTAGAACTAGAAACATTCTAGCATTCATTTTTGATGCGGCGCTTGTTTGAACACACCTTTAAAGGAATATGATTTCACGTGAAATAAAAATAATGAGTCATACTTTGATTCTATCTGGCATTGCTGCTATAATCTGTTCTGCAAGTGTTAAAACTCGAGCGTCTTGTTCCCCTAAAGGTCATAAAAAATAAAAATTAGTATTAAATTAAATGTATGAACAATTTCATCAAAACACAGATGTACAATTCAAGCATATAACTTAGACAATTTATTCCAAATCATTTTTGTACCATCTGTTTATATAAAAAGACCTATTTTAAACATGCATGTAAATAGTAGTTCTAAAAAAATTTGCAAACTAAGAAATGCAAAAGCTTTAGCAAAATTTTGAACAATTTAAAGAGAATTTTATGTCTCAAGAATTAAATAAATAGATTAAAAAATAAGATCCTAAAACTATTTATCTTTTATTAGTAACCTAATTGGATTCTTAATCAATTATAATTGGATAAGTGCAATTCGGTGTTAAATATTTTTACATGTTTCACTATAATCTCATTAATTACCTCTAATTCTATAAAATGTTAGTAATCTAGAAAGTTTTAAGAAGGTTTTTAAGTAAGGTTTTAAATAGGTTTTACAGGTAAGTATAAGTATGAGGACATAATGTTAAAGATATACGATGTAAGTACATAGTTAATACTGTTAGTAGTGATAGTAAATAAGTTAGAGTAGTAGTAGAGGTTTAGGTACACAACAGTGAACAGACAACACCGACAGACAGACAACAAACATTAGTAGTAGTAGTTTCTGGCTTTACGGACTGACCTACAACGCTGTTGTGCGCGTCAGAGTCGTCGTCCGAAACAGCTTCCACATCAATCAGGGGGCTACTGCTTCTGTGGACGTTACCAGCTACTTCGCCTGTATAACGGCCAAACATTCCAAAAAAATATTTATTTATATAAAAAAGAGATATACAAAAATGTTTTACCATAAATGTGTTACCAAAAATTTTTCATCGAAAAATGTTATATATTAAAACAAATCTTAAATAATTTTCTGAATCATAAATTAAATATTTGCTTTGAATTTTTATTTTGTTAATGTAAAAGATTTAAATGAAAAGTCTAAAGCGGACGAAGACGAACTTATCAAATTACTCATGCATAGATGGAAATGACTTTCTTTTTAATTTTTATTAGGTACTTACCTTGGATAAATATGAACAAGAATATCATTTTGAAAAGTAAAGTTGGATAAATTTGATATTTGTTATTCTTGTGAATTACCCCTGGAGTTAACACAACTTTATTAATCAACCCAACTTTATTAAGAATTATCCTGTTCATATTAAAACTAGTCAAAAAATTAATAATAAACTTTACTCCTTTATCATAATTTTAGAATGATTTAAATAAAAAAATCAGAGAAAATAAAACTCACATAACGCAATATCCATTCTTCTGCTTGATGATGAATCCACATCAGCATCTAAACTATCGTTAGGAATAGGAGAACTCCCTGGAAGAGACATGCTCCTATCGAACCTATTCGTAAATAAACTATAAAAAGCGTTACAAATCTGATCTTAATTCAAAAATAAATACAACCTGGATAGTTTACTTCCTTCCTTAGAACTTTTATTACTCTTGATACGTTGCGATGTTTCAGATGATTGACCATAAGCCATATGGATTCCGCTGTCAACTGATGGGCGTTTCATCAATCTACTTTGGTTACGTTGATTTGAAGAATCTTCTGAGAATAAAGGAGTTGGGGATGAACTTAGCAATTTATTCGAGCCGATTATATTTGAATCTGTTGTTAAAGAATCCATATCCAAGTTTAATATTTTATATTTTTGGGATTCACTTCTGGTTACAGCACCCGGTCTTAAAAACACTCCATCGTGCGATTTACTATTTGAAGCAACCGAGTTTAAAGACGTTATCGAACTTGCTGGTGAAATCATCGTAGGAGAAGCAACGCTGTTTGACTGTAACAACATGTTAGCTTTATCTCTTCTTTCTTCAAGTTTTACGAGTGCTTTAACTAGATCCGGGTGGTTATTAGATTTCGCGCATTCCAAGGCGCTTTGGTTTGAAGTGTTTTTAATATTCAAAGCGGTGTGGTTCCATTTGTATAACATAACAGCTGTTTCGGTGTGTCCTCTAGCACAAGCCCACATTAACGGAGTATAACCGTCCACGTCTTGACTTAATGCATCGACTTCCGTTTCGAGAAGCAAAGATGAATTTTCAGCCCTCCAATGAAGCATGGCGCACACAAGTCTGGAGTATCCTAAAGATGCTGCTAAATGCAACAAAGTCATTCCACGATGACTTGCAAACCAAGCAACACTAAGTTCTTCACCATGCCTCCATGGCCTTGATGTCATATTTTGGCAATAAGAAACCAAGCGATCTTCAAAGTTGTGTTGGGTGAACAAAGCTGTATCTTCAACCTAAAGAAACTAATAATAAAATAAAATTGATGAAACATTAGATTGAGTTTACCACGTCTCCGTCTTGTGGTTCTTGTTTGATTTGGAGTCGATCATCCATAGCTTCTAATCGTTGCAATAACGTGAATTTTAGCAAGTTATCGTTGGATCTTTCCACTTTGGGTTCTGGTGCTAAGAGTTGCTCCTCCCTCGGTGGTAATTTGTATTCGAATATCACAGAATTTGATATAACGTATCCGTCACAGGCTACTTGTAGCGTTGCTAATCCAGCTTCGTGAGCTATGGAAATATTTGATTCAAAATAGTATCGTAATTCTAAAAAAGAATCTTACCGGGACAATAACATCTTAAAACACCGCTTTGAACCAAAGTAGTAGGTACAGGGAATGTATCGAAAAGAACAGTGTAAGGTCCAGCGGAATGCCAAGGTCCTGTTACAAGAACTTTGACACCACCCTCCGGATATGCCCATTCTGGAGAATAATCGGTAATCTTTGCGCCACCTTCAACTTGGACGTTGGGTGTGATTTCAGCTTGATCCTTCTCGTTTCGATGCGCACCCACCGGCGTATTAACATCTAATAAACCACCATGTCCAGAGTCTAAAACTTCGAGTTCGGGAAAATCCCCCAACATATCAAAAGCATCCAAATTAACAAACACATCATCATCCACTACGTGAGTTGGAGACACTACCACATCACAATTATTGATGAAATCCATGGGATTGATTTCGCCATCCAAAGCGGAGTCTTGGTGTTGGGTGTGCTTTGAAGTATTCGATTCATTTCTGTTTTGATGATTATTCGATTGATGATTTTCTAAATCACCGGAACATAGCGGCATATTGGCTTGTAAAGTTCTTTGGATATCTTCTTGTGAAAGATCCAGAGTTTCGTTGAAAAAGCCGTTATTGATGATTGTAGAGGAAGAGCTTTCGGTTTTCGATGCAGACGATTCCGGACCTAATAACACTACATTATCGTTGCAATAATTCTGTTGTTGCTGTTTGTAGTCTTCAGATACATCATCCTGCGAAGTGGTATCCATGTGTTTCGAGGGAGTCGATGGAGCGCTGGTCATTACCATTTCGTTCGTCTGATTTGTTCGACCGTAATCGAACACTGATTGTCTCATGTTGTCCGTTGTTACTTCCATTTTCGTTTCTCTTTGATTTAATACCTGCGCATAATCATGTTTAATAATAATGTAAATAGTTTTTAAAAAATATAATATGGTAAAGGTCGACTATTTAGAGTTTTTAATAAGGTCAAGATCTGTTTTTTAAAGTAAACTCCTCAAATATGCAGAAAAGGATAATTATCATTGTATTCGTGGGTAAAAATAATAACTTGAAATTAAAATTTAATAAGTAAGTACATTCTAACGATAATTAAATAATCTATAGATTAAAAGCATTAATAATACGGTACACTACTTATATGGCGGTTTTTATGCATATAAGTAGTCGATTCATTAGCATAGAGTCTTAAGACCTAAGGTGCGTTTTAAATAAAAAATAATAAATACCTGATGTTGATTGTAAAGAAACTGCTTAATTTGGTGATGGTATGGATTGGCTTGCGTGTTGAAATTCTTTACCTGTTGAAGTTTTTCTTTGTAATTGTAATGGATTTAATTATTTTTTATGATTGTTTTAATATTAACCGTGTTTCAATTATAAAAATTAATAAAGAAATTATTTAATCAATCCTTATTGTTGAGACACAAAGAATTATTAATGCTTCAAAAATCTTATATTTTTAACATACAGTGTAATAAAGATTTATTTTTATCATCACATAAAAACCTAATAATTACACAAAATTAAAATATTCTCACCTTGCTATTGGGATTCGTTTGTAATCTACAGGAACTTTGACTGGTTTCCATCACCTCTTGCTTTAATATCAAAGGAGCATTTTTCGATGATTCCAATTTAGAAATTGCTCTAGAATTTGTGTTGCAAACAAAATTCGCAACGGAAACTGGAGCGACCAAACTTTGTCTACCACTACTATTTCCGGAAGCTGACGAATTGTTCAAAATTAACAAACCACCCCCGCCTTGAATCTGACTCAAACTAAGAACCAATGGTGGTGTATTGGAAGAAGACGAAGAAGAACCGTCCCTGATTTGATGATTAATCTGATTGACTTGACTCGAACCTCTGGTATCTCTGGTGTAAACACGAGGAGCGTGACTGTTGTGGGTTTGATTCGCGGTCATTAACATTGTCGATCCTGTACCGGTGGTTGATGAAACTTGGTTGTTGTTCTCAGATTGATTAAGGATGGATGGAGGACGGTTGTTGGAACTGGAAGATGGAAGCGGGGAGCCGGCGAGCTCCGATTTGGCTGCTGTGATGCGACGCATCGGATGCGAACAAGTTTTACCATCTGCACAAGTTGAATCAGGACATCCACATTCGAGTTGTTTTACTAACGCTGCTTGTCTCGCAATTCTTTGTTTTTCCATTAACTGAGTTACAATTGCTTCTACAGTTTCTGCAGTCTAACAAATTAACAATAAATAAAAAAATTGTTTAGAAATTTTATTGCTACTTACTGATATTTCAAGCTCGTTGTTAAGATCTGGTTCATCTTCGCTAAAAAACATCGGTTTTAATTGAGATACAAGCTCGTCCTTAGTCCATTCTTTTTTATCTGCCCAAAGTGCTAAGCTCGGTGTGATAACTGCTAATTTGTTATCGTCAGGATAAGGTACGTTTAAATAGTGAACCAGAACGATGTCAGGATTCTGAAAATTTATAATCATATGTTAACAAAAAATGAATGATGTTAGTGAAATATTTACGCCATACAAAAATAAAAAATAGCACATAAAATATTGAAAGCTTCGGAAAAATATTTTCGTCCGAGTGTGCAAATAGCGTGTGATAACAAATGCACTAACCTCTCCTATTATTCAGTGGGTTACAAAATATACGTGGAATGTGGCAAAATGCGGGAAAAAAACGACTGAATAAACAATGACCGTAGCATATTGATTACAGTCCAACCATAGTAAATAGCGATGATATTGCGAGCTCGCAGCATTGGTAAAGTTCGAACCGAAATGTCAATGTTATGCCGATTGGATTATTGAAAATCTTGTTGCGAAGACTTACAATTGTTAAAAATCCGAGTGCTTACCTGAAGCAGCCAGTAGCATCTTCTGTGAAAGGTCGGTAAAATTGCAGAATGAACGTAACATCCATAAATACACTGAAATAAAAAGAAACATGTTTAATAAAATCAATAATAAAACAGTTTAAATATATAGAAAACTATTTTAATTGCATTATTAACAAATAAAACGGTAAATTGGAAACTTTATAAAGATTTGTTTTGGCTTTATAAATATTAAAAGAAATATGAAGATGAGAAGAAATACGCTTAGAACTTTCAAAAAAAGAATATGATACTAAAATATTTAAGCGAAGTTGAACCGGAAGTACCGGTGTAATAGTCGCTTTTAATGGAGCAAGTTCTTCGTTAAATCGGGTCGGATCATTTCGTGAAGGAACATCTACCGCTTCATCCGTACAAAAACATGTGGCAATTTAGGCAGATTTATCTGAAGAGAACTTATTAATCAAATGTTCAGAGGCTTTAACTCGACGGTTTGACGAATAATCCCAAGGCACCTCCATTTGAAGTCGGTTTGAAAATAGTTATTTGTGTTTAACTGTTGTAAGAATAATGAAATGATTAAATATAGTTATTTATAAAAAATTAAATCATTTTGTTAAAAAATTATACTTTTTCAAATGTGAAATTTTGAGAACAAGTTAATTGTATCTCCAAGCAATTTAGCCACTCTAAGTAATACATACTAGAATATCCAAAGCGTAACATCTCATGTTATAAGTCTCTCAAAGATCTCCATTCCAAATGGAGATCGTTGAAATTAATTACATCTTAATGAAAAAAAATCTTGAAAATGCACTTATTTTTGCACATCTAAATGAATCTACATCTTATAAAGTGGTATAGGAGATTTTTCTTTTAACCTTATTTTATCATAACAATTATTTTTTAATTTTTACTAGATAGACGAATTGAGGAGAATCTTTCTATAAAAAACTATGATATTTTTGGAAAAACAGGAAAAAATGGACGACGTTGCAAGCTAAGAAAAAATATCAAACAAAATGAAACGAAATTCTGAGTTTCGTATTCCCAAAAAATGCGCATACTATCTTAAAATTAAATTTTTGATTTCATCTTCTATCCTTTTCCAAAAAGTTAATCCATTTCTGTATATCCTCAATTTACACATATACGACAACAACTACGATGAAGCTGATTTGCAGAAAGATGCATGATAAGGGTCCTTCTTTGCATTGCGAACAACTGTTCCAAGACAGAATGGGTCCACATCTGCATTTCATATAGATTTCATATCCATAGTTACTAGGTTTGAAAAATGAAACGTTTTAAGTCTGAACTCCGTTGCAACAATTGTACTTTGCAGTGATTATGCCAAAAAGTTATAAGTGAATAATTAAAGCAATTTATATGATGCAGGTTGAGCATCAGTAGTTCAGTGCAAAACTTATATTCACAATTTTCCTTCAGAGAGGTAATCTGTGATTGTAGTATGGAATCACACGTAGTTGCCCCTTACATCAATGTGTCATCCACACATAGCACAAACATAAGACTGGAATGAAATAAAGTAGCAATCTAACCGAACGATACAAACCAAAGGTTGCCTGCTTTTAAAGAAGCTTGACTGGCAGCTTTTTGTAGAAGAATCTTTCTCTTCCTTTCCATGGAATAACTTTTCTACAGTCAATTTGTGATTATTTTTGATAATTGTAAAACGAACGAAGAAGTATTGTCCTCTTATACTCTGTAGTTCCAAAACCAGATGCTTTAGTAGCAAAACAGGATTTGAATCGAGACTTCAAAGTTCTATTTTTGAACATCGGTAAACAAAATTTGCACGCTATATTAATTATTCTGGGTTACACTGTATTTTTTTACCGTAATTACAGGCTCTTTTTGAAGGTATATACTACACGGTCACGGTTATCGATTCTTACTACAACATTCGAGTAGTTCAAGTCTTAATTACTGTAGTACGATGTGTTTGCATCGTGTATAAAAAATGCTCACAAAAGACATAAAAATGTAAAGTCGATTTAAACGTTAATCCTCATTTACTAGCCAATTTCCTAATTTTATAGATAGACAAAAAATCACAATTCAGAAAATATTTACCCAAGTTCTATTGATAAACAATATCAAAATCTTAGCCCATCCTATGTAGAATATTATGTTATAAGTCCTATTGATGTTATTACCCAAGAAGAAAAGTTTAGAAAAATCATTCAAACAAAATGAACACCAAATGAAGTCTACACAGCTGAGAATAGATTGTTGAGATAAAAGATAGTAGTTTGTATGGATTTTATGGAAAACAAAGAGAGAAAAGTTTTGCTAAAATTTGGGCAACCAAATTCACAAGCAATAAAACACGATACAATGCCAATATCACTAGTTCATTACGACTACATCAAATGGTAATTCGTTTGTTAACTTGCCCAGAAAACCAATCAATCTGCAAAGTATGAGAAATATGACAACAGAAATAGTTTGAGTTCATAGGGGTAGATATCATAACCTGCTCCACTTGAAGCAGTGACAATACTGTTTCATCAAATTAAAGCGTCCATATATTCCCATCCCTTATGTAATCTAACTAATTCACATAATGTATATTTCCTTATCGGCAGATCGTTAATATTCAGCGATCACCCGTCACCGATCAAGATGAAAATGATTTATCACCACGATGAAAATGATCCGAAAAATCAATAACTTTTGGTAAGGGTGGTTCTTTTATTATTTAAACATGTATAAAGCTATAAGAAAGATTTAGGGAAGTTTTGAGCACGGCAAAGTTCTTGTGGTTACGGTGAAGAAATTTGCAGAAAGTGTATTAAAAAGCCTTGTAAAACATCGTCTTGCTCTGATCAGCATCTTCATAACATCGTCGATTATTATTGTTGACTTTGTTATGTAGGGACTGTATAACTAATGTAACATGAAAAAGGAATATCGCTTCAAGTAATCAACAGACCGGAAATAATAGCATCCAAAGGAATTCAGCGGCAACCGAAGGAAATTAGTGTAATTGAGGAATGTAACAAAATCGAATAGTGTTTTATCTTAATTGTATTAAATAAATGATTATAAAAATTTGTAAAATCCGGCAGGAATTTATCCAATTATTAAAAAAATCCCCTGTATTTAAGTGGTGAATTTGAGTAAATTATATACTTAGTGATTGGATTTAAAAGAATTTTGACATAAACGAGATAACGGTGCGTTGGTGAATCGCTCCCTTTAATTAATGGATTGTAGATGGGTGAAGAGTTACTCATTGCGCTGGAAAAATACTGTGAGAGCACGAACCAAACGAATACGAAATAGGAAACAAAGCGTTAGATGGTAAAGGTAATTCACCGCTAATTCGACGTACTACCAACGTTAAATCCAGCGAACAATCAAGGCTTGTCATTTCTGGGTGTAACAAAAGTGAACGGTGGCTTTCAATTTGTAGGACCGAAGTGGATATTTTTGCTTTTATTCGATTCTCGTCATTTTAAGGTGTTAATTAAAGTGTGGGAATCTAATTTGAACATTGATTTTTTAAGAAAATTTAAATAATACATTTTTAATAGTGAAATCTTTATTCGCCTAGTTTCTTTTACGTTTATGTCAGTCAAACTTTTCCAGACAAATTTCTAAATTTTTAATAACGCCGTTATTAAACACAATTTAATTTTCCGGTAATTTCAGCCAGGAAAAAGAAAATCTTTCGTAAAGACAGCCGGAGCTAAGATATCCATTTCAATTTCAACCCGTCATAACGAAAGAAGGAAAATATTAGCAGTAACCCGTCCGTTAAGCTTTAAGCTTTCGCTAGAAACATATCGCAGATTAAATTTTGGAACCTGATTTCCGTGTGAAAATCCTTCCATAGTAGGAGGGATAGTAGGAACTTTCAGTCTCTTTGGCACAGAAATGAGAAGAAAAGAACAGGATATCATATCTTTTTTTTTGCTCATCTTTCATCTACACCATCTCTCTTTCATCAACTTTTTTTTCGTTATCCCTTTGAGATTAGCTTTCACGGAAGCACGTGTCACGAAATTTTCCGAACGGTACGCTGTATATTTAATCAAAATCATCCCTCTCTTGCTGTCACTCGCGCTAACAGCCTGTTCTACATGAATTTAAAGCACCTTATTATATGGGAACCGGTGTTGGATTACGAAGTGTTTATGGGACATCGTTTAGGTTTGAGTATCAAATTTATGCTGTAAAGGAGTGTAGGAAGTAGTAAAGGAGTGTTATCAAACGGGGTAATATTACCGATATATTAGGAAATCTCAAATTACTTATGAATGATTAAAAAAGTTGTTTTTTAAAGTTAAACGTACATTTCTCAATATTCGAAACCTAAGTAATAAACAAACGTAAAAACTTTTAGAGTGTACGTTGCCAAAAAAGTCTCACCCCAAAAACTTTTAATTGAAACATACATTTTTCAACGTGAAAATCTTGGCAAAGTGTTGCCGACGCTTATGTATAATTCAGAACGACGGAGCGAAAGAAAATAGGGCTGCAACGAAGTGGACGAAGACGGCGAAGGGAAAATGCTCCCCACCTACCAAAGAAAAGGGTCGGGGGGTAACGCGCTGGTAATTCGAGAGGGGCACATTAAGCTCTCGTCTTAAAAAACAATAAACATTTTACTTTCGCCCTTGGGAGGTATCCTCACTACACCGCGATGCGTTTTTGTTGGGTTAAGGCGCCCCATTTTCGCCCCACGAAAAGGGTGTTTAAAGCTGAACCCACAATGGCCTCCGGGAATGGAAGCTTTTTTTCTCCGTAAACTTGACGCCCTAATTTTATTTGATAATAAAACAAAGTTAGTCGCAAAGAAAAAATATCGCTGTTGGGTAAAGCTGGTGTTAAAATGAAGTTCAAAAAAGTTTGTGTTTGATAGATGACCATCTTTCTGTAATAATTAAATTTTATAAATGAGTAATTTTGTGCAACAATTTTAGGCCAAACTAACTGAAATCTAATGTTGATATTGATGATGATCATTATGATACCATCGATTAGTATAAAGCCACTCGTTCCGGTTCAATTATGACAACATTATTTATTCGATTGCAAATATGTTGGATTAAATTAATTGAATGTTTCGTCCGGCAAATATTTGATTAAGCGATCCTATTGCGATTATGAATCAGAGGAGAATCGGGCGAAATCGTTCGGTCCCCTGGACCCAATTTAAAATGCATCAATAATGTAATGGACACATCAATCTGCGTGCGTGCCGAATAATGGACGCCGCGACAGGATAAACACAATTTAATTGGAACCGGTTGCGGTAGTGGTTGGTTCCATTCGAATTGACGGAGTCGTCAAACTATTTCCGGTTTTAATATAAATGTGGCTAGGTGATTAGTTCTTTGTAAACAAAACTCCATTGGTATTTCCTATCGTTCGTGCCAATTGATTTTTGGTCAATGGTGCGGTTCACACGCTATGACTTTTCATTACATTCAAAAGTTTATTTAAACTCAGTTCAATACTTATTACCACGAAAATTGCTGGTTATTTTCTACTGGTGTTATAAGATACAAAATGTTTCTAAACGCTAGGAAAAGCACAAAAACTTAGCTTCCTCAAATTCATCATGATGTTCCAAGTCCAAGAATTTTGATTAACTCAATGATTATATAGTCGGAAGTAAGTAAGATGGTGATACAGGATATGGAAACACTCTCCCAGTAAAAGCAGTAGGTAGGTAATTTGCGAAACTAATGACTACGACTACATATGTGGATGATTTGTGAGCAGACTTGCAACGAGATGATTGAGTGGTTATTCTAACTGGTTATAGTAATAATGTTCGTAACGATAAACGAGTATCTGATCAGACATTGTTTATGATTTGGAGTTTGTTGACATTTGGTAATACTATCTATGTCTGTGTATCACTGGGATGGAAAATAGCACTTAAATAACATTAATAAGAGTATATTAAAATCAGGTCCCAGTTTTTATATTTATAAAACTTCAGTCTTATCTAAACAGGACAGAACTAAACTGGGGCCTACACTTAATCTATATAGCGAAATCATACAATTAGTCAACAATACTTAATTGCCATCAATTGTATTTATACGTCGTAGCAGCAAATTTGGCTCTGCTCGAATCTGCATCAAATTCATGTTCGTAAAACTAGTAGTTAATCAGATAAGTACTAATTGAATGATATTGAGGTGCAGATATACTGGAAGCATATCTAAACGGTCTATCTGAACTATCTAGAAAAGTCACAGGGTGTCGTAGATGCTGATTCTTACAAATACGAATTCTTTCATAACGAGAACTGTGCTATAGGTACATCTACATCTCTATGGAAAGGTTTCTACGTATCAGAAGCGTGTGGGACGGCCTATGCAAATGATCTAGAGAACTCCCTGGTGCTGCAGTTTTTGGTTCCTTTTGATTTTACAACTACTGCCATGAATATCCATGGCATAGACCAGGGGGCCCATTTATTTTTTGGAGTAATTATAGGCTGCTACACTTTCTAATTCCAATGAAAATAAATAGGAAAGAGTTGAATCTGATAAAGGCGAAGAGTCGACTTTACGGAGGTGTATTCTCTTCTAACCGCTATTTAGTACGCTTCAGAAGAAATAGATATATTATAATTGGCAATACATAAGAAACATTTGAGGAAAGATTTACTACATAAGAGTTTTGATTATGTATTTCATGACTTGTTGTTGATAAAGCTAATAAGACTAATAAGTTTTAGCTTTGATGAACTCGTAGCTAACCTCTCCCTTTTATTTCGTTTCTTTACATAGTCTTAATTACTGACGATACTACGGTAGTTAGCACCACTTTCCATCTAACTTTGCCAAACACAGTGATCACACAATCTTATGTTGGTACCTCTACTCAACTTACTAATGTCTTAAAATATAAATTATTCTTTCCACTTATATTTTGAATCATCTCCTTCCGTTAAAAAGAAATATTGACGATTACACAGCAAATCGTGACGATTATCACCCCTATCCTTGAAATACTGAAGATTTGATGTTGGCTACAATCGAATGGCAACGGTGGGATAGGGATCGAGTCAGTTATTTATTCTCTTATTAATTATTCTCTTCCGCAGTTAAGCCTTGAACACTAAACCTTTTTTCTTTCAAAAAGAAACCTTTTCAAAACTTTGAAGAGTGTCTTAACGTTGATTACGCAGATTTTTTAGGTTAAACACCATTATTGTTATATTTTAACCTAAGCCTCAAAGTCAACAACTTTTATATTAACCTGAGAACTGGAATTGTTCATAAAGTAGTATATTTTATACTCGAATTTTTTTTTACCATCACCTTGTATTCGAAGACATTTATAGTCGGTGCAACTTGTTCCTAAATAATATTACAATATAGCATCGAAAAGTCAAACATTATTCATTCAGTATTTCTTTAATTTCAATTTTGTCATATTTTCTCAAACTTTTCTTTATTTATTTTCTAATTTTAAGTTTAATTGAATTTTGCATGAGAAATCTCAATTAAACCTTAAAGTTCTTTTAATGAATTTAAAAGAAATACTTCTTTTTTTTTTAATGTTGGCTTTTATCATTTTCATTAGGAATTAAATCGCGATATAAATCAGATAAATTTAATTAAATATTCTGCGAAGTCTTAACCCAACCTTGAACTAAATTGGGTTATTTCAATAGAATTAAACCGTGTTCTGATTTAAAAAATTTTAGATTAAAATAGCCATGTTAAATTTAATAGGTCATGTAGTTTTTCAAAGGAAAGAATTAACGTGAAATGAGAAAAAATAAATCTAATTTTACTGTTCAATTAAGAAAGTAAATATTTTAATAACAACTCACTTCTGTTCCTTGGACCTTGAGCTTCATATGGTCCTCTCTGGTGGTCTTTCCATCCTTTCTCTTTTTCCAACAGTATCCGTCCCGACGATACCGCACCTTTTTCCTGCTGTACAAAAGCATTGAGCCGCTCTTCGGTCTGAAACAAAGGACGATATAGTATGAAACGCCAGGAATTTACTCATTTCGTGACAATGGGATACCGCTTAAAAATTTTTCAACGTGAATACCGGCATTTAATTTTCTAAACAGGACTCGAGACTTTTTATTTATGCAACCGTAAAATTAAGAATTCCTCTCCGATTTATATAAAATTAAAATATTGAATAAGGAATTCAACCAACCTAGCAAAAAAATCAATAGAAACAGTATTCCTGTATATTCATCATCTTCAAATAAGATTACTTGAAATTGTATTCGTCATACATATACAAGAATAGATGTTAAACATCTCTGCTTCCATTCCATTTGCATTCAGGTAGTCTAGGACAGGGATTAATTTAAATGCACCCTAGAGACGGGGACACGAAACAGCTGAGTAGTATTATTGTCTAGAGAGGGACTAAACTTTTAATTCTGAATTTACCCAAACCGTTAGCTACGCAGCCAGAATTTAAAGCTATATCAAAGCACAAACTATTATTGTCAAAGTTTCACTTTGAATTTATAATTTTATTCTAACCATTACGATTTCATCAAAACATATTACATACAAGAAATATTAAATATTGTTTATTAAAAAAAAATAAAACAGAATATAAAACGTTCCCTTCATTTTTCCTTTAATTAACAAGTATCTAAAAAGCTATATAGAAGTACTTAAACCGCACCAGAATTGCCACGTGGTTAAAGTTATAAGTTTTAAAATTGCAACGGCATGTTTTAACGAGCTGGAAAAACGGAAATAGCAAAAATTGGATCTGCTAAAATTTTAAAAACGTTTGACGACGCAAACTGCAGTAAAGAATCCATAAATGGACTTTTATTTGCAAGATACGACGCAGTTAACAAGTAACACGATCAAAATCCCACGCGTATCCCCTCCGCAAGTTAAAATTGCGAAATTTCGCAAAGAAATTTCGTAAAAATTTGAAATCCCTAACGTAAAAACAAAACGTAATTGTCCCGTTCGTCCAGTGTTTTATTGCCAGTTTTCTTGGTGTGGATATAAATCGCTTACAAGTTTAGTGCGAACGTATAAAGCCGAGTAACGACGTTTGGAATTGTAAGAAATTTTATTCTTGCGTAAAATTTTAGGACAACTTCAAGAAATCAGAGTCTGTTGGAGTAACAAAATGGAATTCTTTTATTACAACTGGATGAGTTTGTTTACTACACTCATTAAGGTATTGAAATAATGCTAAAATATTGGTGCTTCTTGCTCATCTATTATAATTATTAATACATTTTAGAGGTGCTATTTAATATTGTAGAATTTTTGGAAGATATAACGATGGAAAAGGCATTGTAGTTTTATATACAAACGAAGCAGCACAAATTGAGAGCATCACAGATTGACGCATGAAGCTAAGGTAATCCTCAAAACACTGAGATTTGCAAACTGAGCCCTGTATGATGGCACAAAGGGACCGAAAGGCGACAGACCCAGGAGAATTCAGCGTATACAAATATAATAAGTCGCAATAATTAACAGCATCAATAAACTTGGCAAATTAACTGAAGATAACAAGAGTTCCAGAAGTTTACTCTATCAGAAAGCTTTGGATTATCGCTTGTGTAACTTGGTTCTAGGTCGTGATCTTGAAAATTGTACACATTACTGATTTATTAATAACAAAAACGCGTGATCCTGAAATCTTCCTAAAATCCCTAATAATGATGCAAATTGAATTAAGTATAGAGAAAAACTAAGATGTAAAAAAATACTCTATTCGAGATCAACTCTAGTAGTGACGACTCAGGTTTGAAAAAGATCTTACGTTCTGGACTAGCACGATTTATTAACTAATTGAAATGGGAATATAATGCATACCTTCCAAACGATCTTGTACTATTAATAAATGTGTATTAATGAATTGAAAAGGGAATACATTATTCACATAAGCACATCACTAGTTTCAAATATAGCGAGAAAGAAAAAATTCCATTACCAGAAGTTACCTGGAGTGGAGAAGACTTTAAGGATTTCTTCACTTATCGATATTATTTCCAGATTACTTGGCACTTCCAACCCAACCCAACCTCAACAAAATGATTTCAACTAATTAGTTTCTCTTCGTTTTCACCAATACAGTTAAGGAATCTATAAGATCAATATCTTACAATAATTAGCTACGTCAACGAAGCGGTGGATTGTGAAGAATTCATCGATTATATAGACTCAATTGACAATACAATTCTGGAAAACTTTTGAATCTTAAATTTTCTGGAATGAAATAGTTTACTTATTGTAGTCTGCAGTAGCATGTACCGAAAATAAATCACTACTGTCGACATATTAGGAATTTTCGATCTTTTTTTAATAACTACTATGAAAGTGATCATCAGTCCTTATACGAAAAAAAAGGTTATTAGATTCTATGGGGATTGGAGTACGAAGCAGATCAAATTAACTATTGAGTAGGATATTATGCAATTCATGAATGAAAATTTATTCATCCTAGCTTGTTCACAACTGCCATGTTTATAAACAGATATGAATTAATTTCAATATTCATAAGGTTTGATGATAATATAAAGCAAGTAACTAACTTGTCATAATAAAAATGATTTAGCAACTATCTGTAAAAAATTAGCCTTATTGGCATCTATCCCAGCGGAGATAAAAGTCAGAGAGCGAAGATTCAATCGAAGATTATTTAAATTCCCTTGCACATGATGACATGACAACGATAGATAGAGCTATACGATTGGCTAGGACAGGGACAGACAGCTTAACGGCAGAGAGGCGACTCAACCTGTTTTCTTCGAAACTTGAACCCGGGACATCTATTTGTTAACTTGAAATACGCTGAGCCATAGGTTCCTTCATTCTTCGATTCTCGCTTTATATCGAAAAAATGATTTGAGCTTCCCAGATTATAGTTTCTTAATAATTGAAGCAAATTTAGTTCTTTTCTTTTTGCCAGTGTTAGAAGTTGTAGAGTATTAAAGTCTACCAGATCAATTCTTCCCATAAAGTGATTGTGCAAATCAACAACATAGGATCATTGGGTTTCATTTTAACTTTTTGATTTTGAATCTAACCGCTGCTGAACATATTTAGTCCAGTTTACCAACAAATGAAGTTTTGGAATTTGTTTTGGACCAATTTTGAACTTTTGAACCCGTTATAATAATGAATTTTTGAAAATATTTCAACTACACCACATCAACACCTACATTAAGCAACTCATAATCAATAATTACTGCCCCGGAATAATGTTCATAAATGAAAATTATTCCATGGGAGGCATACAAATTAAATGCTTTTTGGTTTGTTTTTCATATATTGTTTCAAGTGATAGTGTACACTGAAATAGATTAATGTATTCCTTTTTGGCATTTATCCTAGCAAAGATAGAAGTAATTAATTTTTCTATAGAATAACAGAGGTGGGCTCATTGAGTATAAATTACTTTGTTCAACTTTATTGTTCAGTACATCATTATCCACAAATTTACCACAGTACATAAATGAAGTAAAAGATTTATATGGTGGAAATAGCAGATTTCTTTTCCAAGGAATATTGATGTCATCGTTCTTGTATCCTAATCCATATTGTTTCCTTCGTATTTTCTTTTCGTTTTTAAATATTCCATTTGATTTCTCTATGAGATAACACATATACATCAACATCACAATCACTTAGTCTAATTTGTTTCCATTGATTACACCAGTTCCATCCACTTTCTGTCTATAATTTTAAAATATTATGAATATGACACTTATAGTTTCATATAACTCAAAGAGAGCTATAATCGATGATAATATGTCTAAATCTTGATTTATGCACCTCAATAATTGTCGTTGAAAAACAAATTTCCATATGTGCCAATAAATAATTGAAAATATAATGAGTGACTCTCCATCCACGTGGCTATCGAGGGTTAATACCGATTTATTCGGCAACGTCAGGATTATGTGAATCACGTGCCCATTAGCTTCGCTCCCATTTTGATCCAATTTTCGAACTATGGTCGCGGACGCCCTTTTTCGACGCTTCGTAATGAAACGAGCCGAAAAAAAATACTATAAAAAATACGAGTAAATTTGACGTTTGAAGCATGTTAATTGGTTTTAGGGTAGGTCGACTGAACGTCGAATGAGTGCGTGCAGGACTACGTAGTATATGGGGAATTGGGAGCCCCGCGATCGACGCCCGAGGGCTTATTTGGCCGCGAAATTGCCGTTCAAATGGAAAACAAATAAGCTTCGGGAAAACAAACGCGATGTGCCCAGTGCGAATGCCGACGCCATCACGGTCCTCGGTGACGGCGGCAGCTTTGGTGGCGGCAACTCGCTTTGTTTATGTGTTTTATGCGCTAACCGATCCGAACTCGACCATTGCGGATCCGGTGGTTATTCTGTCCATAGGTATGGCGGGGTTACTCGAATGGAAACTTGGTGTTATCCCCGGGGCTGTTTACCAAAAGGGAATTTATTGAATGGAAACTGATACGATACATCTACTTAAATTCCTATTTTATTGCCTCTTTTTTGTAACAAGAAACCCAGTCTTTTACACATACAATATTAAAAATCATTATTTCTTAAAATAATTATTCAATAAAATATTCTTAGGCAATTATCGCAATTAAATAATTACTATTTGAATTATTGATTGATGTTGAAAACTGGCAGAATAGATTCTACGTAACTCAGGACGTACCACTTCATGGTAGAAAGACTGCTTGCGTCCACATTAAAGTTTTCCTGGAGGTTTAGGGCCGGAACGAGCTTACAGTCGCCAATTTTAATTGCGATCAACTTGTAATTACAATTTAAATGCGCCGACGAACTCGAACCACGCCACCGCCAAGCTTAGCTGCGATTAATTAAAACTAGTTTTAATGATGATGAATGTATAAATGCCCCGTTATTATTGTACAGGTAAACGAGGCCCGACGTTTCTTTCGTTCTTTTCCTTAATCTCTAACGGCAGCACTTTATTTAGTTTCGAATCGAGTTGTCGGTGTAAGGTTTAATGGTGTGACGAAGAGGAGAAATCAATGCTAACAAGAGTATCGTGTTGAAAAGGAAAATTAAAGTTGGTTTTATAGTTCCTCACCTGATTTTCACTTCTTTGCTTTGCCATTCTGAATGTCGATCGAAACTTATTAAGATTGCTGCTATTTCCTGAAACAAAACAAAAAGAATTAGTCTTGTTTACATCATATATAGGAGTATCATATAAATCATCATACAAAAATAGGAGAATTTTTAATGTGATTTCTAGAATTTAAAAGATAGCCATTTTTGGAGTGTAAAATACGAGAAAACGAAATGTTTAAAAAAGACATCTCAGCTGGATTAATAAATTTGCCCGGAGCGTCCATAAATCCAGTTCAAACATGACGCTTTCGCGCAAACTACTTGAAACACCACTTAGATCGTAGAGATAATTTACCGATACAGTTTACAATTCGTTTATCGTTAACGCGACAATACATAAATATCCCGAAACGACGACTACTGAAAAATACAATAGAATAAAAGAAAAGGTTAAGGAAAAATAGAAAAAGCGTACTTTCAGCTCTAAAACTAGACGAAACGGACGACGTGGCCATCTGATGTCGTAAATCAACCGTTTCCACGTCTCTCCTCTACAAAAGTCAAAGACCAACGTGCACTAAATAAGTAGCCGATGGTAACGAAAGAGGAATGGGGACTTGGGCGACAAAGAAAACTTGGTTGAGATTCTCGTTCTTGTACATTAGCATATTATTAGTGTACGACTGGTACTGTTTAAAACGTGAATAAGGTCCTTCCGGGGGAGTGCAAAAGGTCAAAAAGTGACGTTGTCGTAGTCGTCGGCGTGATTTGCATAGAGATGCGCCGAGCAGATAAGCACCGAGGGGGGCTTCTCGGCGATGGGGTCGCCCAAAAAACGGGGCGATAAATACTTTCTGGTGGCGTGAGCTGCCTAGCGATATACAGGAAGAAGAAGTGCCAGTAAAATAGTGGTTTGTTGAATGTTCCCAAACTTACTGGAGACACTCACTATCCCTATAAATTTTTACTATGGCAGGACAAATTTTAACCAAAACCGGTTTGAACAGCCGATCGTATCATTTTAGATATATTATAAACGCTTTATTTTTATTGTTTCTTATCTGAAAAACTTTTAGGTACCAAGTTGACCCCCTTGATATCTAGATATGCCTCGCAGTTGAAACAGAGATGTTAATATTATTCAAATTAGGTAGATAAAAAGAAAAAGCAAAAAGAAAATATTTTATCGTGATATATGTTATATTTTTTTTTACTTCCGAAACATAGGTTATGAATTTTATGGCAACGCAGTAATAATTAATAAATACAGGCAATTTCATATAACTCGCAATATATGAATACTATATAACGCAATATATATGCTACTATGTACTTGCACTGTCCCATGGGGTAGTTTTGCAAAGGAAAAGTTTAGCTTGGAAAAAGGTATGATAATCCTGAGTTTTCGGCCGTCTTAAGAGACGCACGGCTGAACCTGAATGTTTCTGGTTCTAGTGTTAGTTCTACTTTTTGTTCATTAAAAATATACTACTATCTAACGCTGAATAACAATTAAATCGCACGTCTCTCAAGACGGCTAAAAGAGAATGATGCTAGATCTAGGTCTTGTGTTAGTTCTAGTGATAGTGCTAGTGTAAATCTAGAACTAACTGGACTGGAATAATGTGAACCGGGCATTACACCGAAGTCGCTTGTGGCCAAGGCGCAACTTTAAAACCATATTGATACAAAACTTGATAAATTTTCAGGGATACGTAAGTTAATAAAGTCGAGGTCGCTTGGAGCCGAGCCGTTACATCAATACAAATCAAATGCGGCCGAGGCGCATTAATAAATAATAATTTTTGCGTTGAAGTAGCGCTTCGGCCGTAATCGACCTCAGATTTACTAAGATTCCCTCCTAAAAAACTGTTTCAGCTTTGTATCGATATCCTAGCTATGTTATGGCTCGTTCGCAAGCGACCGCGACTTAATTAGGTTTTATATCGTGATGTAATTAATCAGATATGATGCGTGGCTTAGTTAAGTTAAGGTCCTTTGCTACCGAGGTGCTACATCAGTGTAAAAAACTTGGTATTATTGAATACTCATTAGTTTTTGTATGGATGTAGCGCCTCGGCCGCAACCGACCTTGGCTTAATTAAGCCTGAAATCGTGATGTAACCTCGTAAACAACCTAATAAANAAAAAACTTGGTATTATTGAATACTCATTAGTTTTTGTATGGATGTAGCGCCTCGGCCGCAACCGACCTTGGCTTAATTAAGCCTGAAATCGTGATGCAACCTCGTAAACAACCTAATAAATCTGGTTAGGTTTTGTGTTGATGTAGAACTTCGACCGCAAGCGACCTCGCCTTTACTAAATTGCTTATCCTTGAAAAGAATTCAAGCTTTGTATCAACATTCTATCGATGTGACATTCAGAACGGATTTATATGAATATGACGATCCATAAGATCTTCTCTATATTTTTTAGTAGTTTCTGTCTCATTTGACCGAAAAATTCTTACTCTTTCTTAGGGTGTCGATTTCCATATTACTGAGTAAATAGGGGTGAAGATTAAAATAAGGGCACATAACATAAGATCATACACTTTATTAAAGTTTTAATCGATCCTGTACCTAAACTTAGAACTTTCTTTTTTCATGCATTATACTTTTACATTTATATTTCTAATTATTATATTAAGTCTTATTTTATATTTTTAAACTTAATGAAATCATGCAAATAATCGTGCTCTTATAAAAGAATCCATACAGAAACACTTAATTCTTGCTTTTACAGCAATTATTATTTTTGTTTCCAGCTCCTCCACCAAAAATAGTATTTAATTAACGTGATCACTATTTGAAAACCAAACAAAACAAATTTGTTCATAAAAGGAATACACGAACACGTTATGAATATGCAGCAAAATACGAAATATTGCTGTAAAATTTTATAATTAATCCGAACATCCGTATGCTTTATCGTATTTCGAACAGCGGATATTGTTGATCATAAAAGCGAAATAACAACGGGGGGTAAAAAAGCGAACGAGTAAAAGTGGACCGCGTCCCGTCCGCCATTTATGAACAATTGCCCCCGTTAGACAAACATAAAACGACAAAGGGCCAGAGGAAATCGGCGTTTTCATTTCGACGTGGTGCAAACAACACACGTGCGGGGAAAGGCTACCGTTCGCTTCAGAGTATCGTGTGCGCGTATTAATTTTACGAAATAATGGGATTCGGCCCCGATGTGTATACGTCGGTTGAGAGAGGGGCCCCTCTTTGTTTATGGAAAGCAGACGCGATAATTCAATTTTACGCCTAAAGCAACGAGTACTGTTCACGTTGGGCGGGTATTTCACGTAATATGGGTGCCCCCCGGACGTATACGAGCAAACTCATGGGGCCCATATAACGGTAACAAGCACCGATCACAAACAATCGTTAAACTGGGAAATCGAAAAATTGGGTCGTTCCGTGCATCGGTTCCATAGCTCTCAAACTCTACTAATTTTCAACACTGATTTCATTCTATCAGATGTTCCTATTTAAATTCAAGATGAAGATTAAAGATAAAATTAAAAGTAATGATAAATAAAATACATTCTAGAATAATGTAGTGATAATATTTTTGGTTCCCACATAATTCGAATTGTTCCCGATGAAAAATTCTCATTCAACGTAAAATAGATTTGACGGGACGTGAACGCAATATCAATTTATATGCTCAGTATGAACGATCGCGGACATTGACAATGCCTGGGACCGGGTTCGGATCGTATTGTGTCCCGCGACCTGCTGCTGTGCCATTTATACCATGAGCAGAAAAGCGGGCCTCCCTTCCGACAGACACGTTTGATTGCCAGCATTATCCCCGCATAAATAATAAATGATAGTGATAACCTAATTTGTAATTCTATTAATGGAAGCACTACCACATTCCATTAGTAATTAATAAAGTTAGCCATCATATTATTGTTCTAAATCCTGTAATAAATAACGTATTTAGTGCTGTCTAACAATTAATCATTAATAAATTAATAAATCACCATTAATATAATTAATCAGGTTATCAATTTCAAAAAATATTTCGTTTTGCACCACAGCTGTTTCATAAAGGGCTTCAGTGGCCAAAATTATTGTGAAAATCTTTATTGTGAATTAATTCAGAGATTAGTTATTATTAGTCAAAGAAATGAAGTTATATCAAATTGATTTCAGCATTATTTTATTTTTTGTGATCAAACTAACAATTTGTTAGTTGTAAAATCTAAAGAGATAAGAAAATTACAGATTTTTACCCTTAACTTTAGAGGGCTATAACTTGGAGGAGAAGTGGTTTTGTCCAAAAGTTATATGAAAGATCCCCCTTAATTTTCGCTGAAAAATCACCCCATAAAATCTTTCGCATCAATTTAGATACACCCTGTATAATTTAACTTACACCTATAAATAATTTTAATAATGTAAGCTTGATATTGATTTTTAATCTACTTTTGCATCACTGAAACTAGCTTCTGAAGATGGCTATTAGCCGAAACTAGTAAGACTCATGTTTTTTATTTAATTAAAGACCACTTTTGAAAGTACAAAAAAGTTCTATATATTATTTCTCCTAATTATTTACAAATACTGGTAAAATGGTCTTCGAATATAATTCTCTAAAAAAAGAGTTTATTAGCTTATAATAAACAATAAAGTGGTATGGGTTAATTTGTTTCTATGAATTCGTAGATATAAGTTTTAAATCTCGTTCAAGTCAAAAAAAGAACGTGTTTTTTAACACTATTCCAAGAAATAATTTTAAATGATACTGGTGTTAAAAATAATTTTACTTTCCTCCTAAACATGTTGCACTTGCTGAACTTATTTCGCAAACTTCCCCGCTTTTAAAATAAGTATTGTTAATATATACAATTAATGATTAAAAATATTCGAATAAATAAGAGGATTTTGGTAAAGGAAGTGTAAAAGAAATAAATACAAGCAAAAAAAAGCTATTTGACCCCGACGTGATTTGAACACGCAACCTTCTGATCTGGAGTCAGACGCGCTACCGTTGCGCCACGGAGTCCTATACAAGAAAATGTTATCTGGCGAATGAAACAGCACTCCAGATAAAATTATTGC